GCTTGTGTACAGCTTAAGTTGTATGATGAAGCAAAGATCTGGTGTCAGAAAGGACTAGCTATATCCTTTGAGAAATTCATTCGTATAAAAGATGTAAAAAGTGCTTCAAACAACAGTCAGACCTGTATTAAGCGATCACCCTGTATTAGTCGGACAGTTGTCAAAGTACTGAATTTGTTTCTCCTTGATTACTTTAATTTCACTTTTACTAAGCGGTCGTGGTCACCTTTGAATGAGTCCCAAGGGCCTTTTTTGCATTGTCCTCCACCTGTATTAAACGGTCACTTGAAGCGAAACCACCTTTTCTATGTTATTCTATTTACCTTCTTAACTCGTTAGGTCTCGGAAAGAGACGACGAGCATACTATTCATCATTTATGGTCACTACATCCGCCCTCCTTTTGAGGCAAAAACTATGGTGCTGAATAATTAACAAAATCAGTTAAAACTAAAATGTCTAAATCCAGCTGTTTCAAAGGTTAATCGATATACAAACTCTATAAAACTGCAATTGCACTTGAAGGTAAATTTTGGTTACGCAGAGTCAGGCCTTGAACGCTTTGTTCGTTCTCTCTCGCTCTGGTCCATTAAGCACTTTTTTCCACTGTTGCCAATCTCGACTCTGCAGATGTTCTTTTTGTAACTCTGCACTTCGTCGTTACTGTTCAACTCACTAATCTATTGAATTGTGGTCTGTCTGTCTTTCCTGATCGCTTTCATCGTGGTCTTCGTCACCCCATTCAGATTCTGGCTTCTTTGTTGAGATCCTCCTGTCATAAAACAGCTTTACAGGGCTAGCACATGAAGAGGCATGCGGTATCGACCTCTGTGTCAGAGGTTAGGTCTGATTGCCATAAGTATGGCTGAACTTAGCGTGCACTCATTTCTTTTGAGCACTGATATTGTTTACATGCCTCACTTTTCATTTATTGAAGGCTACAATTTCCCTTGCAATGATAGATTCCCTGCTCGTTCAATTTTCGGGGACGTATAGGGAGTAGCCGAACTCATGTCACATGGTAGTATTGTCGACATGTGGAAGACTTGGTGTCTAAAAGTTAAAGAGCCAATTTGAGCCAATTGTAATGACCTAATCATTTCGGTCCTACAAGAATCATGCCTTGAAGTGCATCAAACGTAACACCAACCTTTCCATTCTGACCGATAGTTTAGATTTGGGTCCAAAGACCTCTTTGACAGCTTTGCAATAAGGGATAAGCTCTTATGTTGTTAGCCCCGGTAAGAAACTACTTTAGATGTCAAAGGCCCAAACAACAGCCTCTTCTTCCATCTGGATACTCCACCGCTAAGACTCGCCTAGGCTTTGGCTCGTAAATCCACTTGCTCTCCTCGCTCTTACCCTTCCTTGCTCCAATAAAGCTCAGTGTTAATACCGATACCCCGACGGTTCTTTTATTAGCTTTCGTATGGCCATGGTCCTCTGCAATAAACATCCTCATGGCTTTCTGCAAGTACGGTAGAACTATTGATAGATTCTCGACGATGTATGGGGGTAATTTGAAGATTGCCTTTTCCTTCAGCAAAATATGTTAACTCTTTCAACCAGAAACAACACCTGTCGCTAAGCTCTGACTTCGAGTTTGAGGTTTTTATTGGCTGCATATCTACTGCTACAAGAGACTAATCGTGCTCTCCTTATCGCCAGGACCTCAAGGATAACAGATTATCCAGCTAAAAGCAATACCCGAGCTTTATCTTGCGCCGTTTCACGTTTTTCCTCAGCTATCGATAACTTGCACACCCACTTTGTACAGGAAAAATGATACATTATCCATTGTCCTGGCATGAAAACAATAGATAACAATTTGTCAACAATCTCACAAACAGGCTCCAGTTTTTGAGGTTTTTCGCAGACGTACAAAACAAAACGCTCAAATGGCGAACACGCCGCGAGGAAAGTATCGCGCCTTCCCTGGCCAAATATGTCTTAGTCACATGTAACCTCGTCACCCAGCACTGACAAGTGATGGATGTTAATGTCTTACTCTTTCCACATTCGTGTTATGCTCATTTCATTTTCCATCTAAATTAAAGGTTCTTTTTGGATTGCGAACACGCTTTCATGCTGGCCCCAGTTAAAGTAAAACTATTTTAATCTGCTTCCCATTCTGCTTGTAGTTCTTGTGTTTTCACAGCTTTTCTCCATCTCTAACTATGATTCAGGAATGTCAATTAAAATAAAAACATTCCTAGCTGCTGTCTTTCCCCTCTGAAACTGCCAGTTCTAATTCCATCTTAAACAACACTCATTCGCTGTTTGTTCACTGCTGTCACAGTTCTATCTTTTCGTCAGTTGTTAGTCTGTGTGACGATTAAAGCCCTAATCCACACGTTGTCCCCCAGAGCTCGTTCCATAATTCTTAAAATGTATGCCATTTACATCAAACTTACTTCCTTTTATAACAAACAAACTTTGAAACCTGTTGTAATTCTTAGATGCCCTTTTCTTTTATCCCGTAAAAACATCACGAAATACTTATAGTTCTTCAGCCTTTTTGAGCTTATTAAAAACGTTCTTGTCGTGTAAATTTCCGCTAAGATGTAATTCTCCTTGCCTTGGCAAGTTCTCATCTTAAAAGATCAATCATTCCACTTCTACTCAAGCAGTTAAACAATAATTCCTTGCCTCTCTACATGTCACAAACTGTTAGATTATGTTAAATCAGAACTTAGCGATCAGACTTCTCCAATGATCTTGAGTGCATTTGGGGCAAAACGCTTCTCCTTTCTAGGTCAAAAGGGTACGATATCCGGACATTGTTTTATACTAAGTGATATTTGGAAAGCGTTTGTTGGTAATCCCTGCTTCTTCGCGCAGATTTCTCTCGAAGTGAATCGACACAATGTATCCCTCGTTCAAATTAATGTCAATGAGTATAAAATGACAATTAAGAGGCAGAGAAAGTGGCGAAGTGAACAATAAGAAAGGCTGAAAAGTGGGTCACTTAAACGAATTGCACAAGGAGTAAAGGACTATGTGAACTGCAAAGAAACTACAGTTATCATTGACAATTTTTCCTTAAAGGTGATTCAAATCTTTGTTACGACGTGGTTTCATCGAGTTTTCAACAGCCAAAAAGGCACATTGCAGCTTGAAAATAAAGATGTAATGCAGTCTATAATTGGCATTCTCCAAAACACTGGATTAAGCAAACCTTGAGCCCTCCACCCTTCCTCTCAGCAGTTTCATTTGACTTAACGATATTAAGATAGACGATAATAGCGAAAGATTGCGACATCTACTAAACAAGTGTGTTGGTGAGACAATCGCATCCGGAGAGATAAAGCCACAGCAAGAAAAGGTAAACTTGAGAATCCCTTCATGACTGTTTCTTTAAATAAAATTATGTTAGGCGATCAAATACTTTTAATAGGTTAAAACGAGCATCTTGAGCCCTCATCTTTCAATCCAGATCTGGTAACGTAAACCAAACAATTGCATCGCTGTGTCGTTACGATCGCAGGGACATGTACTAGCCATTATTGGATGGCGATTGATCCCTCATCTATAAGGTGCCAAATATTAGCGGCTAAGTATGCCCTAGGAGCCTTGCATTATTTTTCTCTGCCAATTCAAGGTGTACCGAGGGCTTTGGACAAACTATTAAGAATAAAAATGAGCGATAATAATTTTGAATGACGTTACGATAACTCGTTCATCATTTTTAAGTTCTAAATGTCACATTCCTATGAGTTCAATTTCTATGACAGAAGCAAGTCGGCAACCGAGTCTGCTCACCTCAGGAGTGCCTCGGACGAGCGCACATTACTGTTAATAGTTAATATGTTTTATAAACAAGGTTCAACTAACTATTTAATGAGGATTCCGATAAATCTCGGATTGTATTCGCAAAGTCATAAAGCTTTCAGGTCGTAGGGGAGATTTGAGTCACACCTAGAGCAAGGTGGATTCGATCTCGTCGGTTCTGTTTTTGACGGAAAAGTTATCACAATATTGAAAGAAAATCAAAGCTTCAAAATGCTTTTTGGTCTTTTTTGTTGATCTGAAAAGGCTTTTTAGGAATTTATTACTACTCAATATGAAATTATGATGGTTTAAATAACTACAACAGTTATTTTTAGTCAGATATTATTTCATACGTCAACTATTTCTATCGATTTAAATCGTCAGTGTGTATTTTTCACGTGACTTAAAACTTTTAGTATTTGAAATGAATGGCGAACCAGGCACTTGAGAACCATTTTTCAGTGGTATTATAGTTCTATTATAAGCTAGGATTGTTTGCCGCCTTACTGGAAGAGTATTGGCGCACATAGGGGAAAATGAAGGGACAGAGAAGAACAATTCAGGAGCTGTCTAGCACCAAACACTTGTCGATACTTCCGAAGTCATCTTCAATTTTAGTGATGAATAATTTCTCTGTCTCGTCAGACATCCACACTGAAATAGTTTCCGTTTTTCTTGGTCGCTTCCATAGACAAAACTTATCTTCAAGCTGATGAAAATGACATTACTCCCACTCAGAACATCAAAAAGGGTTTAGCCTTAAGGCCGAAGTCTTGTAAAATATACTTACGTTCTAATGATTATAGATTGGCATATTTCAATGGCTTAGACATAAGCCTGCCCCTCCATCACCTCATTTTTTAGCGCTTAGTCACTTTCACAAAGACGACATGTCAGTCGAAAATCCATATCGAACGTGGAACTCATAAAAACTTTGTAATAGTCTATCTCAAGACCAATCCAAAAGGTATAACAAAGAGACTAGTTGTCTCTGGCCTTTAATGCAAGACCTTCATTCAGATCTAAAACTAAGTGTTGGAATAATAGTACAATAAAAGTTTGCGACACATTTTCAAACCCTTAGGAAGACTTAAACCAGGAAGTAGAACGTATGGCCAGAGGAGTGAAAGACAATGCCAGGGAAGGAAGGAGTTATGAAAATCTTGGCAATGCTTCTGATGGTCTAGGACAGTTCAAAACAGCCATTGAGTACCTTAAACGTCACCTAGATATTGCCAAGGAAGTAGGAGACAAGTCTGCAGAGAGATACATTTCTGCAACTCTTGGCATTGTTTATTATGGTCTAGGACAGTTCAAAACAGCCATTGAGTACCATAAACGTCACCTAGAAATTGCCAAAAGAGTGGGAGACAAGGCTGGGGAAGGAAACACTTATGGAAATCTTGGCAATGCTTATCATGGTCTAGGACAGTTCAAAACAGCCATCGAGTACCATAAACGTCAGCTAGAAATTGCCAAAGAAGTGGGAGACAAGGCTGGACAGGGAAACAGTTATGGAAATCTTGGCAATGCTTATCATGGTCAAGGGCAGTTCAAAACAGCCATCGAGTACCATAAACGTCACCTAGAGATTGCCAAAGAAGTGGGAGACAAGGCTGGAGAAGGAAACAGTTATGGAAATCTTGGCACTGTTTATGATGGTCTAGGACAGTTCAAAACAGCCATTGAGTACCTTAAACGTCACCTAGAAATGGCCAAAGAAGTGGTAGACAAGGCTGGAGAAGAAAACAGTTATGGAAATCTTGGCAATGCTCATCATGGTCTACGACAGTTCAAAGCAGCCATTGAGTACCTTAAACGTCACCTAGAAATTGCCAAAGAAGTGGGATACAAAGCTGGAGAAGGAAACACTTATGGAAATCTTGGCAATGCTTATCATGGTCTAGGAGAGTTCAAAAAAGCCATCGAGTACCATAAACGTCACCTAGCAATTGCCAAAGAAGTGGGAGACAAGGCTGGAGAAGGAAACAGTTATGGAAATCTTGGCAATGCTTATCGTGGTTTAGGACAGTTCAAAACAGCCATCGAGTACCATAAACGTCACCTAGAAATTGCCAAAGAAGTGGGAGACAAGGCTGGAGAAGGAA